AGCAGCCTCTGCCCTCCCAGAGCTGACATTTCAGGAAGATGTGCGCCAAAGCGAGACCTGTCAGAGATATTTACAAACAGCCATCTCTCTTGACATCGCTGCACCCCAAATAAATCTTCTGGGAAGACCCTCTTCACCTCCAGCTCTCCTGATACAGCAAGACAGTTGTGAACAAGTTATTTATAACTCTATACCTCAATTTCCTGGTGTGGAAGATGGGGATAATGAGAGGACCTGTGCCACAGGATGGTTGTGGAGACTGTATGAGGATATAGGTGCTGAGCCCAGTGGCACAGGGTACAGCCGTTCAAACCAACTGACATTTATTGAGGGCTGCTTTGTCAGGTCCCTCTCTACAGTATACTCCAACACACACATACACACACAGCTGTAATCAGTGAGAATCCTGCAACATCTGAGAGTCTGGCAGCTTTTGTCTGGGCCTTTGCACATGCTATGCCCTCCCTTCCATCCCCCACAGGGGGTGACTCATAGCCATCCCTTTCTGCATCTCGTCAGATATCACTTTTTCCAAGAAGCCTCCCTGTCGCACCATTTCCCCAATATCACAGATGAAGGAAAAAAGACTCAGAAAGGTTAAGTTACTAGCACAAGGTCACACAATCCAGATCTCATACTCTTAGCCCCCTAGGAACCTTACACTGTATTAAATGACATCAATTGACCAATCAATGGAAAGAGTGGGACGCATGCATCTCCTGATCCCCGATCCTATACATTTTCATCTCTTTGTTGTTTCTATCAAAGCCTGCTAAGTAACTACTTTTCCTCTAGGTGAGTGCCACTAGGTGATGAGGTAAGGTAATCAAATGACACAAAAGAGGAAGGAGTCCACCACCAGGGTAGGTGCAGTGGAGCAAGTCTTACAATGTGCAGGATTATAACTTCAGCAATGACCCCTAGGCTCATGATCATTCCCCAGGTGGCAGTTTCAGAACACATTGCTCAGGTCTCACCCTGTAAAGGTAGGTACCAACCTTCTAGTAAGCCATCAGAACACACAATGCCAAGATCTTACTCCAGCCACCTGCCAGGACCTGGGGGGCAGGAGGAGAGTTCTCCCTACATTGTCTCATTTTCCCTCCCCTTCTGCAGTGAGACAGACCATGTCCAGTGCTTAAGAGTTGACTGGCCACACTGGGGAGTTTGACCACAACCTTGGGCTCCATATGCATGGAATGAGGTTGCCTGCAATTGTCCATGAGGCTGCTCCCTCATTTGTCTGGGTTTATGCTCCAGTGCTATCTCCTCAGAAACCTTCTCTGACCAAAGCCAGCTCTGCCTCCATCCCATCACTCTGGATCTCCTTCCCCAGCTTCATCTCCATTACACTGGCCACTCTCCCTCACATCTTATTACTGATCTAGTTGTCTGCTGTCCATCTCCACCCTGGGATGTAAACTCCACAAGGGAGGAATGCTGTCAGTTTCCTTGACTGCTGTGTGGTCAGTACCAGGGCAATGCCTGGCACAGGGTAGCCCTCTCTCCCTAAATGTTTTTGAATAAATGAAAAAAATGAGCTAAGTGGCTAAGATAGGTGTAAATACGACCTCAATTAGGAACAGTCTTGCCAGTCCTCTTTTTTTTTCTTTTTTTAAGAAAAAAAAAATGGCCCCAGCATGGTGACTCATGCCTGTAATCCCAGCACTTTGGGAGGCCAAGGCAGGTGATCACTTGAGCCCAGGTGTTCGAGACCAACCTGGGCAACATGGTGAAATCCCATCTCTACAAAAACTACAAAAATTAGCTAGGCATGGTGGTGCATGCCCATAGTCCCAGTTACTCGGGAGGCTGAGGCGGAAGGATCGCTTGAGCCTGAGAGGCAGATGTTGCAGTGAGTCAAGATCACGCCACTGCATGCCAGCCTGGGCTCTTAAGAAAGCAAGACCCTATCTCTAAAAAAGAAAAAAGAAAAAGAAATGTGTACTCATTTTCATAACTGAATAAACAATTTTCATCAAAGTAAAGAAGAAAGCAAAGCTTGTCACCAAACCTCTCCACAGCAGACCTCACTCCACCCATCATGCTAGTAATATCCCATGAAGAAACTGACTCAATAAATTAGAATTATATATTAAAAATCTCATTTTAACTTGAGTTTCAACTTGTGAAAGTGAAGTGATATGAATTAAAGAATATTTGTACAAACCATTAAGAAAATGGGTCCAAGGATTAATTTTCTTTTAAATATAGCTAGGGTCACATTAATAAATTGATTAAGGAATGATACAGAAAAATCCAGGAAAAGAACAAAAGAGAGAGAAAGCCCCTACCCACCCCTACCTCCAACCCAGTGCAGTTCAGGAGCCTGAACAATACAGAACTTGGCCTTGAAGGGTTACTAAACTATGGCAATGGCCTTTCTGCTTCATGCTTCTTTGCCTCAGACCCCCTCTGGTGACACATGACTGGGCAGCATACTAAGTTCTGGTCAGGAGCTCAGGGACCTTAGTTATGGCAGAGAACTTTAGAGATGGATATTGATGGATGCAGGATGGTCAGGACACGAAGCAGACCAGAAGGACTAGAACGGTAGCATGCAGGAGGCCACAGCTCGTCCTCATCACAGTGGTACAGGGACTGCATCTGGTTCTCTGCCCCCTCTCCTTCAATAGTTCTCTGTTCCCTCTCCTCCAATGGAACAGGCTATTGCAGGAGGCGACAAGTTCCCTGTGCCTAGAGGATTCAAGCTCAGGTTAAACAGTAACTAGGAAGAGATGTTGCAGAGGTGATTTAATCTGGAGGTGAAAGTATGCCACATTCATGGTCACTTTCAACCCTGAGCTCCCGACCAGCAACTAGTTCCTTTGCATTTCACTACTCTCCAAACTCGCCTCACTCCAGTCAATGGGTGTTCATTCACTCAGGACAGTTATTGTGCACCAGCTATATGCCATGGGCCAGGAGTCAGTAGTGAACAGGACAACACACCTCTGCCCTCTTGAATCCTACATTCTCCTGGGTGGATGCACACAATAAACCCATAAATCAATGCATGAATAAGATCATCCCAGGCAAGCTCTATGAATAAAATACAAGAAAGAATGTGATAGAAACTAATGGGGGAGGGGCTGCTTTGGATAGAGTAGTCAGAAAAACCATCTGTACAGGGGAGACATCTGAGCAAAAGGGCAAGAAAGTGCCCAGCATGGAAGAAGTGATGGAAAAGCATGCTAGGTTGAGGGAACAGCAAGTGCAAAGGCCCTCAGAAGTCTTCTGAAAACTTGAACTCAAACGTTCATGAATTGCATCCCAGCCTAAAGGTCTCACCACAGGCCAACAGTGCCTAACCTCACAGCCTGCGTCTCTTTCCCCTAATTGACCAAGTCAAGGCTGACCTGTATTGCCTACTGAAAAGTGTGTTCTGGGAGGGGGAACAAGGGCAGCCCCCAATTTGCAGGGAATTGAGATGTAACGGGGGCAAGAACCTTCACTTTCCTACCAGAAGTTCAGAGTCCACTTACAGGCCTCATGGAGAATACAATGTAAGGGGAAACTTCTGGAAAAATAACTGTGCTTCAAGTGCCTCATGTATATTTCAGGACATTCCCTGGGGCTCCAGGTACAGAGCTCTTATCTGTGGAGTTCCAGAAGACAGAAACTAAATTTCCAAGAAGATACTAAATGGGTGCAGCCCAGGAGAACTCTACAGATGGAGGGAGCAATCTGCTAGAGATGAATGAATGCGGGAGAAGACGACAAGATCAGGTCCCCGGACTCTGAAATAGACTCCCGCACTCACAGAGACTAGACAATATCAGCCTGTCAGGGGACCCAAGGCCTAAAAGAATCAAGTGAAATCTACCCACCCTCCCCCCGCCAACAAGAGGCAAACATCCAATCGCAACCCAGAGCTTCCAAAGAAGATCCAAGACCCCACTTCCCAACAGAGTCCTTGACAAAGTTCATCTCTAATTCCACATTCTGAGATATACTTTGCACAAGGCTGGTTAGCCACAGGAAGTATTACAGCAAAGCTCAAATTTCCCAGGGCGGAAGGGAACACCATGGCTCCTGTGTAAACACCACCAGCTCCTTACCAGAAGAAGGGGAAGGAGCAACAGCCTGCAGACCCACCTCATTGAGAAGCTAGGGCTGTGCACGCGCTGTTAGATGTCAGTGATAATAATCACAAGAGCAGCTAACACAGAGGATTTATCCTGCCCCAGTCAGTATTTTAAGCACTTTATCCCTATACAAGTCTTTAAGGTTTGTACTATTTTCATCCCCACCTTACAGATGAGAAAACTGAGGCATAGGTAAGTGAAGTAACTTGCCCAGGACTACACAGCTAAGACAAAGATCCAGTGAAGCTCTCCTCCTCCACACCCCAGGGAAGAAAGTGGTTATACCTGGGTAGTGCATGAAACGCTTAAAAATAAGTTTCTACCGGTACATTCAGGTCAACTACCGTCTGGCAATTCCCACGTCCTCGCCCAGTGCGGGAAGCAAGCCTGGGCCAGGCAGTAAATCCAGCAACCCGAGTCCTCTAGGAACAAGGCGCTCTGTTTCTGCAACATTCAAGCGCGTGATGGGGCCGCTGATAGTGCAAAAGCAGCTCTCCACCACCGCAAAGCCCATGGGAACCCGTTTCCACTCGGCTCAGTCGGCCTCACAAAACGCTCACCCGTCTCTGGCTGCGAGGCACCCACGCTGACCTTAACCCCTTGGCGTCCGCCACCCTGGCGTCCTATCTCTGGATCTTCTGGCCGCTCGGTTTAAAAGATGCAGCCGCCGGGACAAGGGCCTCAGGCAGGCTGGGACGGCGCCCGCCGCCCGGAGCGCCCTGAGTCCGGCTCGCCCGCCGCGAAGTGACCCGCGGCCCTGTGAGCCGCCACCAGCAGCGCGCAACGCGACGCTGACCTGCGAGTGCCCCGCCAGGCTGGAGAAGAAAGTTGGGCGAAAGGGGCGCGTCCCAGGACAGGTGGCGCCTCCCTCCCCGGAAGTGGCTCCGGGAATTTTCGCTCAAGGGGCTACCCGGGGACCAGAGTCAGGGTCCCCAGCAGGAGCGACGACTGGTCGAGGTTGGCGGTGGCACTGCCCACTTGCACTGCGCCCAGTGCGCCCCCGTGCGCTGGGTGTACCCTAGACCAGGGAGCGCTCAGGCCCCGCCGGGGGCGCGGAGACCTGGCGGGGTAACTCGGAGGTGGGTGTGGCGGGGGTCCAGCTCGGGGACCGGGGCAAAGGAGGAACCAGCCCGGAAGAGGGTCTCACTCCGGGAGATCTAGCGGGGGTGTCCCACCAAGGGGAAGGGTCTAGCCGGGGAGCGGGGTTCCCGGCTGCTGCCCGCACTCACCTCGGCCCCCGCGCTAGTTCGGCCTCTCCAGGCTGGAGAACTCACCGCGGAGGCGGCGGAGGCTCCCCTGGGTGGGGCGGGGCCGGGGGCGGGGAGGCCGGGCCGGCCACGTGGGCGGGAGGCGGGCCGGGGACCCCCGCGGGCGCCGAAGCCGGGCCACGCAGGACTAGGACGTGGCCACGCCCGGCCACCGCTCGACACCCCAGCTCCCCATGCACGGCCTAGGTCTACGGGAAGGCTAGAAAGAGGAGAGCGGAGACCCCAGGACATCCCTCCCCCGCCGCCACCTAAATCAGACTGAGGCTGAGAGAATTAACCGAGTCGGAAGAGGAGTAAACAGCCCTGCCTCTGGCTCCAGCTGTCCCGCCAGAGAACGCGCAGCGGAAACCCCGAGGGTGGGTCGAGGGCCGGGTACCCTAGTGGGAGGGGACTCTAGTGCGGAGGTGGTAGGGGCTGCCCTAGCGGTCCAGAGCCAGAGCCTGCACGCGGAGCTCCCACCCCCACCGCTGGGCAGATCTTGGGCGTGTCAGATCTTGCCCAAGCCTCACTTTCCTCGATGGTGTAGGTGAGAATGAGGACGAGCCTCGAGCTGCGTGAACCCGGGCGCCCAGTAGGCTCTCAGGAATCGCCGGCTTGTAGGTGGACGCCGAGCCTGAAAGTGAGGAGCCTGGGTCGTGCATGCGAAAATCAACATGGGACTCTAAATAAAACGAGTTTCTGCAGGCATTCATTCATTCAACAGATGAACGCCCACGGTCCTCATCACCTCTTAAAATCAGAAATAAAGAATGCCCTAGACTGTCGTTACTGGGCTCTTAAGAAAGTGTAAACCCCGATGCTAAAAATGAAAAATTCATCAGTTGCCCCGGCAGTGCATTTTAGGTGCTTGATCGAAATTAACATTCACGACAGCCTGTGCGGGCCCGCTTCTCAAATGAAGAAATCGAAGCTTAGAGGTGAAGCCAGCCCCCAGAGCCAGAGGATCACAGTCTGGCCCCCTGTTTACAGAGGAAAGAGCATCAGCCCAAGGTACTAAGGCTCTTGCCCAGGTGCAGGAAGTGGGTGAGGGTTGAGAGCTCCCTGGGAGGCCACCTGTGGTGACAGCAGCAGCTGGGATGCAGATCTTCCAGATTTACTTCACAGCAACCTCTGCCTTCTGTTGCCAGTGCTCAGCCTCGCAGTACTGGGTGGCCTCTTCCTGGCCTACAGCCCACCTTTTGGGCCAGAAACTGGGCATCTTGAGCAAACCGACTTCTATTCCAACAGCTGCAACTTCATTCCACTACAGCTTGACCCCAGACCCAATGCATTGTGACCCACCAGTTTCCTGTTCAGGGAACACACTCTCCCCAGTACTCCATTTCCAAGGACAACTCCTGTGTCCAGACCCCTAGTCCTCAGTCTTTTCCCCAAGAACCTTTTGTCATTCTCCTTCCTCCCTAATGCAGAAGATCCCTACGACAACCAGCCGTGTTTATCAAGTAATTACATTTATTAAGCAAAGGGCTTCTCCTGTCTCTGAAGTGCCTGCTCCCTCATGTGAGCTCAGCAGTGGCTTCAGATCCACCAGCCAACACCTGGTGTTCTACTCAGGTAGGTTTGTCAGAGAAAAGTTTTCTTTGCATTAGATTCAATTTAACAATTATTTGAGCATCTACTACATGCCACACACTGTGCTAGGCTCTGAGGACAGTAGTGACTGTCCCCAGATACCAAGACAGACAGTCCCTGACCTCATGGAGCTTATGAGCTGATGAGGGAGACAGTCAACTGACCCCTCACCAGGCAGCAAGAGAGCAGGATGTGGTGACAGACACCTGGAAGAAGCACTGGCCCAGGCAGAACACAGGTCACACTGCTGGAAGTCCATGGACCATGGACAGGGGAGGTAAGGGGAGAAAGAGGCTGGAGGAACCTTGATGGCCAAAGTGAGACATTAGACCTTGTCCACCTAAAGCTTCAGACAGAGGCATGATGGGATGTGAGCCACAGTTTGAAAACATCACACTGGCTGCTGAGTGAGAGATGATGCGGCAAATGAGTCTCCTGTACACAGCTAAAGGCAATGTGCCTTTTTATTATTACTAAAGGCAACTGCCTTGACTTCCTCTGTTTTATAATTCAGGGTTTCTGGAAAGCAGGACACATCTGCAAGTAGGATATTTAGATTAGCAACACAGCAATTTAATCCACAAGGTTTCTATGTGCAGCTCTCCCACCCTCTCCCATCCATGCTGTGCTTGGCCCTAACGTGGGCTTAGGGTTGGGGAGGACTTTGTTCCTAGACTCAGACTGAGAGTCTGTCGGGGGGAGAGATGATACACCCAAAGACAGTCCTTTATGGAGTGAGAGGATAGGCAGGAAATGTGGGTGTCTATCCACAGAGTTTGGAAACTGGTGAAGACTCCAGAAGCCTCTGATGGTCAGTCATCTTTTCTCCTTGAAATAGTCAGTTTATTCATAAGGGCCCATTCTTAAGTTCAGCTGCCTCTCCCCGAACTACAAGACAGGATGAGAAGGCCATGTGCGGTGGCTCACACCTGTAATCCCAGCACTTTGGGAGGCCAAGGTGGGAGGACCACTTGAAGCCAGGAGTTTAAGACCAGCCTGGGCAACAAAGTGAGATCCCTGTCTTTACCAAAAATTTAAAAATTAGCTCAGCATGGTGGTGTGTTCCTGTAGTCCCAGCTACTCGAGAGGCTAAGGCAGGAGGATTGCTTGAACCCAGTTTGGGGTTGCAGTAAGCCATGTTCTCCATGCATGGAGAACATGCACTCCAATCTGGGCTAACACCACTGCACTCCAATCTGGGCTAACAGAGAGAAACCTATCTCAAACAACAACAACAACAACAACAACAAAGAACAGGCTAGTGTGGGATCAGGGCAGTTACTTCACAGAATCATCAATTGGGGAAGCCCGGGTTTCTGCAAGAGACCCCCACCTGGATGGGCAGAGGATGAGCTATGTCTGACACCAGGCAGAAAAGCAATGGAGAGGGGCTGGGACAAGGGGTTGGGTAGCACCTTCAGGGAAAGCAGCCACAGGAGAAGGCACAACCAGGGTCAAAGGTGGAATTCTGAGACCAGTGGCCCCAGCCACCTAGTAACCACTGGGTACCATGAGCACTTGCTGAGTGTCTGTTGTGTGTAACCTTATATTTAAAACCCTCTGCTTATGTAACACTACTCATTGTAAAGCAATATAGAAAATACCAGAGGTACAAAGAATAAGAAAACCCACCCACAATCACACCATCCAGTGGTAACCACTATTAATCTGTGTCCTTCATTTTTCATTTAACATATTGTGAACCCTTTCCTTTGTCATGAAATATTCTTCCACAACATGATTGCTAAAGGCCATTTGGTCCATTGTATGCATGTGCCCTCTTATAATCAATCCCGACTGGTACTTGGTTTATTCCTCATTTCTCGTTGTCAGGGTAATGCTTAGTAGTGAATTTTTTGTTTGTTTGTTTTTTGAGACAGAACTTCACTCTCTCACGCAGGCTGCAATGCAGTTGCACTGCAACCTTCACCTCCCAGTTTCAAGTGATTCTCGTGCCTCAGCGTCGCGAGTAGCTGGGATCACAGGCACCCGCCACCATGCTCAGCTAATTTTTGGGGGTTTTTTTGTTTTTTTTTTTTTTGTATTAGAAATGGGGTTTTGCCATGTTGGCCAGGCTGGTCTCAAATGCCTGACCTCAAGTAATCCACCCACCCTGGCGTCCCAAAGCGGGGATTACAGACGTGAGCCACCAGTTCTGGCCTGAAAATCTTTTTTTTTTTTTTTCAAGGCAGGGTTGCCCAGGCTGCAGTGCAGTGGCACAGTCTCAGCTCAGTATAACCTTGACCTCCCAGGCTCAAGTGATCCTCTCACCTCAGCCTCCCAAGTAGCTGGGACTACAGGCATGTGCCATCATACCTGGCTAATTTTTCTGTCTTTTTTTTTTTTGTAGAGACAGGTTCTTGCTATGTTGCCCAAGCTGGTTGTGAACTCCTAAACTCAAGCAATCCACCCACCTCAGCCTCCCAAAGTGCTGGGATTATAGGCATGAGCCACCATATCCAGCCTCGAAAATCTTTACACAACAAATGTAAATATGCATTTTTAGTTACTTACTAAAGATAAAACCCCAGAAGTGGAATTACTGGAAGAGACATTTAATTCTCTGCCTATAGCAACGCACTGTACAGATGCTCCCCCTCCACCATTTTTTGGCATTTGAAAGGTGTAGAGTGTCCGGTTGTCGTCTTCACCCAGGGAATGGTGATGTCTGGGCATCAGTCTTTTTTTTTTTTTTGAGACGGAGTCTCACTGTATCACCCATGCTGGAGTGCAATGGTACGATCTCAGCTCACTGCAACCTCTGCCTCCTGGGCTCAAGTGATTCTCCTGCCTCAGCCTACTGAGTAGCTGGGATTACAGGTGCCTGCCACCACACCCAGCTGATTTTTGTATTTTCACTACAGACAGGGTTTCACCATGTTGGTCAGGCTCATCTCGAACTCCTGACATCGTGATCTGCCCACCTCAGCCTGCCAAAGTGCTGGGATTACAGGCGTGGGCATCAGTATTGTTCAGGCCTAAGCAATACTCTTCAAGTGCTACTAAAAGGCTTCTTTCGAAGCAAGTCCTTTCTGCTTTCATAACCTGGGTTAGAAAACCTGAGGAGCAAGGCTGAGCTGGGGAGTGGAAAGGCAGAGAGAGGCTGTGGAGTAGGAAATACCTGAGTTCAAATACAGCTTGAGCCCTGTCCTGAGGCAGGACATGAACTAAACTCCTAAGTCCTTTTGGGAGGGTGAGGGGAGCTCAGGCACTACGCAATGCATGGCATAGTAACAGACATCCAATATACATTGGTGATTCTGATACAGCTCGTTCTGCTAACCAAACCTGCGTCTATAGCAAGCTGTTATCCAGTCTGGAGACAGGAACCACAGGGTGTAAAACCTTAAGATAACAGCCTTGTGGGGGAAATACGTAAAACAGCCCAGTCGTTCTCCACTCTGGGATCACAGTAAATGGATGGGAGCCATGTTCTAATTTGCAAAGTGAGGCACAGATGCAGTTTTCTCTTCTAGGGAACATTTTAACTGTCATCAAGATAGGTAATAATAGTGTTTTTTAAGTTTACTAATTTAAATTAAATTTAAATCTTTTAAATTTACTAATAACTGTTATTTCTCAGCCAGGCACAGTGGCTCATGCCTGTAATCCTAGCGCTTTGAGAGGCCAAGGCGGGTAGATTGCTTAAGCCTAGGAGTTCAAGACCAGCCTGGGCAACATGGTGAAATCCCATCTCTACAAAAAATACAAAAATCAGCTGGGGATGGTGGCGCACGCCTGTAGTCCCAGTTACTCGGGAGGCTAAAGTGGGAGGATCGCTTGAGCCTGGGAGGTTGAGGCTGTAGTGAGTGGATTTGCAGCCTGGGTGACACAGTGAGGCCCTGTTGAATAAATAATACGAAAGAAAATAAAAGGAAAGGAAAAACACTATTATTGCCTATCTTGATGACAGCTAAAACAGATAATAATGTTTTTGAGCACTTGTCATGTGCCAGGCACTGAGTGGGCTACCCCCTCCCCTCCCCTGCTTTATCCTCACAACAACCCCATGCGGCAGGTACATTTTTTCACCCCCATCTGACTGATGAAGAAACTGAGAACCAGGGAGATGAGGTGACTTGCCCCAGTGACTGCTTAATGATAGGGTGGGTACAAGCTGGTTAAAGCAGTAGAACCTGAGTCCAGTCCAGATGGAAGG